AGAAGAATAGGAATAGCACCTCCTTGCGTGCGCAGATCGACTGCTGTTCATCAGCAGTTCAGGTTCGTTCAGTGTGGAGTTTTAGGGTTTAAAAAAAATGTTAATGACCTCTCGCCTTTCATTTTAAAGTCAAATTAAACACAGAAAACAATCACCCTTTCCTGCGGAAGAGGTTTTTTGTCTGCGTAACCATTTTAAAAAAGCATCCTTCCGAAATTTATTCAAAAACTTGCTAGTTTCACTTTTATTTTTTAAACTCAAGTAGGGTAACTGTTCGCAAAGGGTGCGCTTTTGCGAAGAGGGCGCCACCGAATTTTTAGGACACTTTTTTAATTGGCTCAAAGAGAGAAGTGGCCCCTCTTGATATGTAGACTCTTTGATCGGACGTAGCATTAAGTGAGTACTCGCTATGTCAAGTTTTACCGGTATTCTTATGTCGATTCACGAAGTCCAACTGCATTTGGCTTGACATGTGTACTGGGTTGGGGTTGGGTTTTTTTTAGGGGAAGGGGGGGGGGGTAAGGTGACTGTGTTAACGTTAGAGCTTTGCCCTTTGACCGGTTTTCGAATAGCCAGAGTGGGTGGTTGGCGGGTGCTCTGGTATGGTTTGCTCCTACTTTCCTATCGAACAACTGCCGTCCTCATGTCTCCTCTTTTTTTTTTTTTTTTCATTCTTGTAACACCTCTAATCCTCGGCTCGTGTATGACCTAATTGTGTTGCAAGTACCGTAAAACTCTAACTGAAGCGTGTTGGACTTGACTGTCAGAATCGTAGCAGGCTGTTTTTGTTTTCAGTCATTTCTATCTTGTGTGTGGGTAGTTGGCGGGTGCTCTGGTGTGGTTTGCTCCTTCTTTCCTGTCAAACATGGTCCTGATCTCTCCTTTTTTCGCTAAGGAAGAATCGGTATCGTGCGCTTAGTGTCGACTTCGATCAAAGATCGTAGGTAACAAGATAGATCTAGTTTACTCAGCCAAAAAAGCGTCCGCGGAAGTCTGCGCATTGCTTCAGATGGCGCTGCAGTCTTTTTTTTTAAGCTCTCTTTCGTTTTTCCAGAAGAATAATAGGAATAGTACAGTTTGTTAGTTTCGCTTTTATTGTTTTTCACACAAGTAGGATAACTCTGTTCGCAGAGTCCGCACTTTTTCGAAGAGGGCGCCACCGAATTTTGGGGACACTTTTTAAATTGGCTCCAAGAGAGAAATGAAATGTCTTGTTATACACGATCTTTGCTTCGATGCAGCGCTCGCTGCAGGTATCGAGCTAAAACCTCTGCCCGAGACTCCAGTTGTTTCCCCTTCCTCGTTTCCTCCACCCGCAAGGAGCGCGCTGCCAGCACCCCTGGGTACCTACTCCCCCCCCCCCCCTCCTCCTTTCCCCAAAATCCCGTTCCTCTTCCTCCCTCCACTGCCTTCCGTCTGCTCTTTCTCTCCCACTCACTGTAGAGTGTATCTCTATAGTCAGCTGCCGCGTTCGCCCGTCTCTCATTCCGTGGTTGTCTGCACACCCGGCTCATTCGTTCGGTCTCTTGTCTCCTCCTTCAATCACTCTCATCCGACTGTGAGGAGAGGTCTGTTGTGTGTGTGTCCATTTGTGTGTATGTGTAAGTGTTCATGAGTACGCACCCGCGTGTGTGCCGGCTTTATCCCCCCCCCCCCTCCCCTTTCCCGTGTGGGCTGTGAACTTTCGGTTCCCCGTGTGAAATTTCTTCTTGAAAGTGTCGAGATTACTGCGATATTGAGAGAACTTATCAGGATGGCCCAGTGTGTAATAAAAACCAGTCTTCAAGTGGGATGCGATCGAGAAAAGGAAGAAGAAACCTGCGATATTGCATCCTTTTTTCCTCATTAGTTTCTGCATCTGGAAAAGAAGATTCCGTCCCCTTCTGCTGTTGTTAAAACGTGACGGATTTTCTCTTTAAAGTGTTATTTAATGACTGCTTCTGACAATTTTGTGTGGTGTTTTGAGCTTTCGGTTCGTGAAATGCCATCAAAAGGCTGAAACGAAACTAGTTCCTTTCGGTTTCGCGAGACGTCATCAAAAGGCTTAAACTAGTGCAACAGTTTCTCCGATCTGCTTAATTATCTCCCGTTTTAGTTCCATTTCAGTTTGATTTTGGGTCGATTGTAGCGAAATCACTTCCGAGTACATGTAGTTTAAAAATTACCTTTCTTTCATTTTGATTTATTCCTTTGTCCTGCT